GATTATTTTGAGTATACAATCCTCAAAAGGCTACTATGACCTCATGTGCGGTCATAACATATGTATTGTGTGTATGAGTAAACAAAACAATGCGAAGCAGTTGAAAAGCAAATCAAGAGAATACGTTCAAAACAAGAAAATAAATGATAAACAATGCAAAAGCGTGTTGTAAATAAAAAGACAGTGACAGAAAACAGCTGATTGAAGACAATGAACAATTATGGAACGCTGTCAATGACTTTTTGCATTACGAGTATACATAATCGCTAAAGCTTATGTACATATCCTGCAAACGCTTGCACTCTGTATTTTACCTATATTGCGTTTATTAGTATTCTTTTTTCAATGTTTTGCAATTAAAAACAAGAAAAAACGTTAACTTCGGTTGCACCGACGCTATAATACCCTTCACAAATACAAAGATTCCTTACAAGAACTTGGTTCCGATCTAATTTCGTGAAGATACCTCGTCAAATAAAAAAGATTTCCATGCAAGCACTTTATTCCGATTGTTCTGTTTGAATGTCAGCTATATGGTATAGTGGTCCGATATTGGCCGTTCCGAATAAGCAGCTTCTTAGTGAGGAAAAGACAGGTGCAAAATTTCAAATCGATTGCTTAAAAACTGAGGAAATTGTTCGTATATATACAGACAGACGGACGGACGGACAAAGAGAAGGACATGGCTAAATCAACTCAGCTCATCATGCTGATCATTTAGGTATATATTTATAGGGGTTTCGACGTTTCCTACTGGATGTTACAAACGTCGTCGCAAACTTAATGTACCCTGTTCAGGGTATGATTGCATTAGATTTGAAATTATTGTGCGCTCCACGATTGCCCTGTAAAAATTTACATGTAATATTTAAATATACATTTATTTGTGTACACGCACATATACATGCATACACATAAATATGTATATAATTTTGCAATACGTTCTATTTATAAAATTAGTTGTCGCTGTTTATTGAATAATAAAGCACACGTCTGCTAGCATTCAGTGCATAACTGCATGTAGATTTGTATATGCCCATGTAATTGACATTTAAATAATTTTCAAGGTTTACGCCAAATGGACGCCGATCATTAGATCTTGACGCATATGAACTAGAGCACTCCTACATACATACATGTGTATTAATATGTATATGTATACTTAAACGTCCATGTACCCAGGTGGAATATGACTAATATGCACACCCTACAATATCTTAAAGGTGATTCTTATATAAAATTAAGCTGACTATAAAGGTAGTTCCATATAGTATACAGTCATGTGAAAAATAATAGGGACATATTGCAATATGGCATATAAATCCAAAGAAAACATACATACCTATATGCATCTAAATTTATTTCTGAATAAGTTTTTTGCTTTGAAAATAGCTTATGTACTTACTATCAAATAATAAAAGAAAGACAAAACCTATTTCAATCGCTCATCTCATATGTGTGCTGTGAAAAAAATAAGCACATTTAGTAGTAAAATTAAAGTGTTTACTAATTAAAAAAAGTTTAAATAACTTTGTTTTTTAATATTATTTTATTGTTGATGTATTTTGATTGTTTAGTATTTGATGGTTAAACCTTTATTATATTGTACATAACGGCCAGGGCATCGATATGTATTCAACAAATTTTTGGCATGTTTCCTGGAGAATAACTTCCCATACTTCCTTTACCAGTGACTAGGGAGCATTTTTATTGGTTGGTTTTTTACGCCTCAATACTACTTTCAACTCTCGCCACAAATTCTCAATGGTTTTTAAATGCGGCGATTAAGCAGGCCAGGTTAAAGTGCTAATGTTGTTATCTGAGAACCATTTTTTACTAACTTTGATGTGTGCTTCGGGTCGGTATATATCATATAAAATGTTGCAATAAGTAGCTGCTGTCATTGTATCCTCAATCCGATATATCGGACCTATACCATGGTAAAAAAAGCATCGCCAAACCATCATGGATGCTCCTCTATGTTTAATCATTTTAAGTGTGTATTGTGGTTTGAAAGCGGTGTTTATTGGTCTTCGGACATGTTGTGACCACAGTCAGGCTAATACATATTATATTTAAACTCATCTGACCTAAGATAAAACGCCATTTCTCCACTGGCCATTTTTATTGAGTTTTTTCGAATGGTGGAGGTATCAACGTTTAAAGAAAGTTGAAGTTTTATGTGTTTGGAAAATGCAAAGGGGTTTTTTTTACAAATCTCACTATATTGTTTTCAATAGATAGAAAATCTCATTTTTAAGGTGTTTTATTTGTTATCAAAGCTGAACACAACAATGTCGTCCTCTGCTCATTTTGAATCACTAAACTATAATATTTCGTTATTCGTTTAATATGTATGTATATAGTTATTTCCATCATATTTTTAATACCTTTGCCGATTATAAATGTTTAAAAACCACTATATTAGAAATAAATTATTTTGTCAACTACACACAAGTGTGACTCTGCGAAGAGAGGCACAAAATGGTTAACAATTATGAAACGACACAAAATATTTGTTCTTTGATAACGGTTATTTTCGACATCCCAGTAAGAAACTAAGTAAAATTTTCTGACCAATTTTTATATTTTAAAGCAAATTAAGGTTTTGACATATACAGTTACTGACAATAAAATATAGTAAAATGGATGGTTCCGAAATAATTACAATCTTTATTATTTTCCCGATAAATTCCGGAGACCTTTTAGAACTTTAAAAGATTTCTTTCGTTGGCAGTTCCAGCATGACAATGACCCGAAGCATACCTCGGGTGCTACAGGATCAATCGCTGTCCTGACTTGGCCGTAGAAGAGTGTAAAGTAAAAGTTGGGATCCATTAAACCAAGAAATAATGAGGAACTATGGTAAAAATTCGGTCTGTAAAAGCTCTGGTGCAATCTATGCCGAAAAGGTGCGCTGCGGTAGTCGCAAACAAAGGTTTTGCAACAAAATTCTAACTTGACTTGGTGATTCCGACAAGTGACCAGCTGCTTTTTTTTAACGAAATTTGAGTACTTTTTTCTATGATGAAAATTATCTAATTCTTCTATTATTTGTTAAATCATGTTATTTTTAGAATTTTTTCCATTATGAACATTTAAGCACCCTTAATACCATCTTGAATAAATTGTCGCACAACTAATGGTGTTTCTGTTCGTTGAACTTATTTATAGATTTGTACTATATTACAATTCAAGATGCTAATAGACTGCAAAGCGAGCGACTCAAGGAAGCATACGCACATACTATACACATGGTAAATACGTGCCTACGCATATACAAATTGTATATGTACATATTATATATAAAACACAACTAAATAAATATCCGTCGTTATATGAAATTATACACACACCTATGTGTATCAATATGCTCCATGCCAAAGCAAAAGAAAAGAAAACGTGGAAAGAGGCTCGTACAGAAACGCGCTTTGTGTGCAGAGCAATGTGGACTTTGAGCTTAACCCGGTAAATAACGAAACTGATAGACCTACTACTTAAGTAAACAAGTAATAAACACAATTGTATTAAAAAACATTGCAAAAATATTGCAATCGTATCTGTAAGGTGCTCTAGCAAATATTTATATGCATATGTATGTATGCTTATAATTGTTTATTATAATTTATATATTAATAAAATATAATACCATACATACATATGTATGTATGTATATGTTAACATATGTATGTAAGTATGTGGGTTGATATTTACGTAAATTGATGCCGATTAGTGTTTATGGAATTGTTATTGGCATGTTGTCAGATACTTACATACATATGTATTTTCAATATGTAGGGCTTTAATATAGCTATTTATTATGAACAAGGTTCCAAACAAACAATAATAATGCGTATAGAAATTTGTGTATATGTGTCAGATAACAACGTGTTAACACATCAACAACGATACATCTGATAATATTTCAAATTTCCAATTAAATTATTAACAAAAATTCAACCAATATCTCGCTTTAATAAAATAAACAAATATTATAGGTAATATATTATTATTTTTAATAGTGAAAGCATTATTTATAAATAAATTTTAGGAAATTCATCTTGACAGAACTTTATATATCACAATAATCGCAACACATATGTATGTACAAATAAAGTAAACAGGGGATTTTTAATTTTTTTTTTCAAATTTATTTTCTTTTAATTTTTTCTTAAATGAATGCATATCTAAATAATGTTGTAACTAAATTTCAAATGGATTGGAGCAAAATTGAGGAAGTATGAGTATTTTTATATTTTTATACCTGTCTTATGAACGTTTTACATCAATTTTCAAAACTTAAAGGCGTTTTCCCTACAACTAACGGTTTCAAAATCGGTGCGAATCATAACTTCAAAACTGCACCGATCGTTTTGAAATTTTGATAACTTTTTCTATACATAATAAACGAGTTAATTTTGGAGCGGTTTTATTTTTATTTTAAATTTGACAATAACAAATTAACCTTTTTTTTTTTTTTGCAAAAAACCTTACTCTCCATTTATTTTCTACACCCTTGTGTTTTTACAGTGTATACATACGTATATATAGATGTACGTACTTACATACCCTTGCGTATGTACATGTGCATAGCCCAAATGTGAAGTTTTTTTTCTAAATACACATATCTACATACCATATGTATATACACATATCTAGTTATTAATTTGTTATCACTACTAATTTAAATTATTAGGAATAGCCCTGTTTAGAACACTAAGGTATAGGCTATGTTTTATCGCTATTTTCAATTATCACACATCTCTAACTTTTTTATTTATTCAAATCATTTTCGTTTTAATTAAAGAACAAAACTTGATATACCGAATAGGTACATCAGTCGCCGATATGTATAAGTATGCGTATATTCTTATTTGTTTTTTTTTTTTTTAGTGAGCTAATTATATAATAAGAAAATAATTCCTGCAAATGTCATTTCGTTTGGAACAATTTTAAATAATTCTAATTTAATTGGAAAATATACAGCAACCAACTCTTACCACTCTTCATCCAATTGTGTTGCAGTCTTTTGTTAGGTTTTAGAGGAACTTGGGTGATGCTTTCTGTGCGAGGTGGGGGTTCGAACAGAGCACGCTAGCTCCTTGTATTCCGTGGCTACTGCCAAAATTCCCAGCTCCAACTGAGCTTAACACTATATACATCGATTTGTTACTTATTTGCACTTTAGAAACCTACTATCTACTATGAGTTTAAAGCAGATTGAATTTATTATTTTAGATTTTTTTAATTCTTGATATTTATAACGCTTATTTTTTTAACGAAAATTGCGCACTGTGTGAAAATTAAGGTGTATATATCTACTTATAGGTTTATAAGTAAGTTTGAATATTTGTTATCCCCTTCTGGATTTTTCACTTTACGTCTTTGCAAATGATATTTGTAAATTTGCTTAGTATTGCTTAATCAGTTTTCTTTCACCGATTCGCTGCAATGGAAAAATAACATATTCTCACAACACTTAGCGCCACTGAACTAAAATTATTAACGACGTACAATTTCCTTTTAATAAAAAATTACGAAACTTCTCAAAAAATTCCTATGTTCTGACATTTCACATTTGTTTTTGTTTTGTCCCCAACATTTTGTCTATTTTGCTTTCTAAATTTTATCGGCACGTTTGCATTGTACATATTCTATTTACAGAGCAGCAGCTGTCTTTTCTAACATATGCTTAATTTTATTAATACCAGTTGTGCGAGTGAGAAAGCAGTTGCAGCGTACGAATTATGTTCATTGTAAGGCTATCAAAATGGTTGTTCGTTGGTCATGTTCGTTGTGTATGTTGGACGTTCGAGTCGATCACCAACCAGGACAAAATTCAGCAACAAATTTTAATGTCGTGTAAAAAACAAGAGTGGCGTCTAAAAACTGCTGCATATGCTGTAAACAAAAACTGAAAACATTTCATTCGTTCTATTATAGATAATTTGAAGTGTGTAATTTAACTTGTTACTTACTTTAATAGGAAATATAATTACTGAGTGCAGTGTGTCATAAAGAAAAGAGCAATAAAACGAAAAAGGTAACTGTGCTACAAGTCCGATTAAAATGAGGGAGATTCATTATAGTTCTGTAAATTTTAACAACTATACCTTTAACGAAATTTAGTTTTAAAATACTAAAATAATAATAAACGACCGAATAGCAATTGCGAGTATTTGTTTGGAGTCGTTTGTAATTCTGTTTTATACGGCGCGCAAACACGGAACAACGTCCGAACGCGAGCGTGTTCGCTCAACCTGCTCGAGGGTAAGGAGTATATCCGCAGACACATGTTAACATATAAATATATCCCAATCCTTAAAAAGATTATAGTTTATATTATTTTTATACCCTGAACTGGGTATGTTAAGTTTGCCTCTGAGTTCGTAATGCCCAGATGGAAATGTCGGATGATCACCATGGCGAGCTAAGTCGATTTAGTAATGTCTCAGTTTTTGAGATATCGATCTGAAATTTTGTACACGTTCTTTTCCTTGCATGGAAAACTTTATATTGGGTTTTTTAGCATACGTGCCATCGAAGTTAATGTTTTTTTCTTGTTATTAATCAGTATTACATTCTGAGGCTTAAATCAGACCGATGGTATTCTGTCCCCGTTCCCACGACAGTAGGGTCTACGTAACCGGAACGGACTGTAAACTCGCCAGAATTCTGCCGCTACAACAAGAATAACGTATTCTGTCCCGTTCTCACGACAGTTTGGCCTAAGTAACAAGAACGGACCCGGACTTTTATCCGGCCAAGAACTCTCAACTCAGCCCCATTCCTCAAAATTACTATAGGAATGTTTTCTGCCGGTACAACAACAACAACGTAATCTGTCCTGGTGGGTTTAAATATGTACACCTTATATAGAGTGGGCCCTATATTAAAGTGTTTATCTAATTGTTTTTCCCCAGAGAGTTCTTAAAGAAATCAGTTGACAAATCGGTCTGCTAAACTATCCGTATTTTACTACAAATGTTTAACAATTACTTCTTGCATTTAACCAATCTTTTAAAAATCTTTTTTTAAATATTTAAAATTTTCCCTAATTTCTAGAGCAAACTAATATTTTACAATGTCGGCTGCCTTAAGTCCTTTACATTGTGATCTAAGATCATATTCAAGGCTTTGGCTCGGCGAGTTCATTGAACTTTATCAACAGGAAGAATGCTTATGGCATCCAAAACATCCAGATTACAGCAATCACAGGTAAATAAAAATGTTAACTTTTCCATATAAAGAACTAATATAACAATAAAATGATATCTTTAGTGTACGTAATAAGGCTTATGATCGTTTGGTTGAAAAACTTAAGGAAGTTGAACCGAATCCAGATCGTGCGATGGTTGTGCGCAAAATCAACTCACTACGTTCTGCGTTCAGACGAGAATTTCGTAAATCAAGTTCAAAGAACAACTATGAAACAAGATTGTGGTACTATGACAAACTACTTTTCATCGCCGAACAAAATCCTAAACGTCTTGCAGCTTTGCGTGATGCCAAAACACCTAAGAGGCCGTTGGCAATAAGTTTCGATGTTGACGACTCTATGGAGTTTGAAGAGGAACCGATTGTCGAAGCTACTACTGTATCACCATCAGAGAGCCTAAATCATAATCAAGGCACTGAAATTAAAACTGTAACTGTAACGGCGGGTGAATGCGTAATTGTGAAAGATGAAGAACAACACCAGCACCAACAGCAGCATCAAAATCAAATTCAACATCAGCTTCAGCATCAGCATCAACACGAATTACAACAACAGCAACATAGCGCCGAACAACACATGCAACATGCAACAACCACAACGCAACCGCAGCACGCAACTGAAGTCAAAGTTTTGGAAATAACATCTCTTGACACAAATTCGCAACGGGAAATACAACAGGTAAAGATTTCTATATATATATATATATATTAAGCAATTATTAAACACTTTTCTCGTACATTTTAGGCTGTGAATTCTCTGGAACAACACCAGCAACATATCCAACAACAGTTGCACCAACAGCAGCAACAACAACAACAGAATCAAGCGGGTTCAGCTCAAATCGCACAAATTCATCAGCAAGTTCCAACCATACAAATTGCACGCGAACACCTGCAACCGTTGTTCGGCAACTCGTATGCCACCACTACAACTCACAGACAGGACGATGAATACGATGCTATCGGTATAAATGTGGCATCCAAGTTACGAGTAATGAATCCAACTCAACGCATTATTGCCGAGAAATTGATTAGTGATGTGTTATTCAACGGGCAATTGGATAATCTCAGCGTCTCTTCAACTTTGACTCAGTGAAAATATGTTTTTGTAAAACATCAAATTTTGTGCAGGTAATGTTATTCAACCTAAGTTATTAGCATTTTATATAAGTAAGCAAGTAGTAATATAAGTTGTAATTGTATGATATAAATATTAAAATTTAAGAAATTTTTCGAAAATATAGCTGGGATTTCTGCATACATATTATATATACCTTTAAATATTATGTGTAGCTTACAAAATATATTTAGCCGGTCAATTTTGTACCATGCTTCTTATTTTGTTTGTAATTTGTTTGAAATAATACGACAATTCAATTAAAATTAACTATTTCTTATATTTGAATGTGGGGATATGTATAGCTAGAAACATAAAACATATTTATACTTTTTAATTGTGTAAATACATCAAAGTAATCCAATCTAAATTTGGAAGCAAGAATCCGCTGAATATTATTAAATAAAGTGTATTTTACTGTATATTGATACTAACAGCAAATTTTATTTCGCACGTCACACTTGATCATGTAACTCCTAAAACATTACAAACATAAACGGGAAAGACGAATACGTTTTTATGCATATTTCAATTAGCAAAAAACGTGATATTTACAAAATTTTATATCGTATAGCAAATGCTATTTTTATTTAACTGCTGTTGTAGCAGCGGGTGTCGCGGCTTCAACATTTTGCTCACCTCCAGTTAAACCTTGCACCCGCTTCCAGCAATATTTTGCAAACTGCAAAATAAGTTAGATAATAAATGTTACCAAGTTATAATTTTAGCTTACCGTCACAACTGGCAGATCGATCTCTTCTTCGACGGAAACTAATGTGCGATTCTTTTGCATTACACTCCATGCGTAATGCATACCAATAAGGGAGGGGATCATCACAATAGTAACCAAATTGCGTTGTACAAATGTTTGACTCTTTTTCATATTTCTATATTTGTTGCGTTTTTTAAATTTTACAAATTTATGCACCCTTAGTAATAACACCAAATTCGCAGCAAAACAATTTTTACGAAATATTACGAACAGCTGTTTTCAGAATGTAAAATCAAAACAAATGAAATAGACAGCAGCTGTGTTTATTATCTAGTAGAAGCAGAGTTACCGCGCTCAGCGTAGTTTTTAAAAATTTATCTGGAAACGGAAACACTATACGAGTATGTATGCATTTTTAAAACACTTCGCTATTCTTTCACTAAAAATATTATGGGAATTTGTCTGGTCTACAAAAATAACTACTACTCAGTACTAGTAAGTTAATATGCAAAGATATACGAATTTAAAGAAAATCAAGAATAAACTTGATTTAACAATAAGTGTGTTTTTTTTTAAATCATATTACTCTTATTGGAAAACCCTGTACAAGCAGACAGTTAGACGCACATACAAATATTCTTTATAGGATCTCCGACGTTTTTTACTGGGTGTAAAAAACTTCGTGACAAATTTAGTAACCCTGTACAGGGTACAAAAATTGGTCGACGCAAAAAAAAAGTTCTTGCAAACTCACCCCATGTTATTGAATCCATTAGACTATATTCAGATTATTCATATTTTAAATCTGTTTTTCAAACTTTCACATGATTTATTAATTGTGGACTAAGTGGCTTGCTGAGAATTATATATTTGTGATATTACGCACATAAAACTTTCGTTTTTAGGTAATTTAAGTAAATAGTTAACTTAACAGCATCCTTTCGCGTTGAGCTAGCGTATCCAATATATATTGATGCATTTGTTCAAATCTAAAATGTGACAGTTAATCAGATATTTGAAGATGTTAATTTAAAGAGTCCATAAAATAAGTGCTACTCAAATAATTTCTACTTGCCGATTATCCGTCGCACCGCGAAAGAATCCTCTTGCTATCTTTGACAAGGCGTCATTGTGAAAAATAAAAACGTGCGTTAAATAGGCGAGGTTATATGGAACTAACAATTTAGCGAACGGAACACTTTTTAGAAATGTTGTTATTTTATTTTCAGGCTTCTCTACTTGTTGGCAGCAGTACGATTGCCAAAATGCTTGAACAGCTATCACAAAGGCCAAGACGCTAAATTCCAGTTTGTTCAGGAAGAAATATGAAAGACCACCCAAACCGGCGGAGAGCAAGTGTTGTCCTGTGCCATAGCGTGTGTAGCGTGTTAACAGACAGCTTGACAACTAAAAAAGCAACACATTTGTAAATCATTTCAACAAGTAACGAAAGTCACTACTTATATTACTCTATATATCCCCACATAGGATAGAAAAAAGGCAGTCATTTCGAAGCGTATCATCTTCAAGTCACTCAAACGTCTTGGCATCTTCCTCTTAGTTATAGTGCTCAGTAAATCTAATGGTACGCCATACATTAAATAACTGCTCATTCCATTCAAAATATATTTTGTACACGATGTGCCCTCATGTAAACATTTTCCTGATTTTTTAAGATCTTCCAAGTTCTCTACATCCTTTTGTTGTAATTCATCTGTGTTGGGCTGTATAAACCAGAAACCATTGAATTCTTTACGGCGCTTAAAATGTAATACAATGGCGCTGGAGAGCATGAAGACGAGTGTCTGAATGGGTAAGGAATGTGTTATGAAGTAGTTTTGTTTGCGCAGCCAAGTTTCTAAAATCTGTAAAGAGTTGATTCGGATACTTTTAATTAACTATTATTTAAATGATGCGATATTTGGTTATGTAAACCAAAATATTGAGATTTCGTAACATTTTAAAGAAAAACAATTTTTTTAGTAAAGGCGATATTAAGTATCGATATTATTAATGAATATGGGTACCATGGTGGTTGTGATCTTCTCACTTTTAGATACCACTTTTCGTTTCGTCGATTTCTTTCCAATAACGCTTCTCTTCATCTCCAGGAATAGGAAAATACCGCTGCGGACCGATTCGAAAAATACAGTGATTGTGAAATTAAATCGAAACAATTCTACCAACGGTAAATTGATCGACTGTGAGCTCTTAAAGCATTCACTTTGCATGTATCAATCACATACCCAAATAATCACGAACGATATGTTCAGCTTTTTTCTTCAACATCTTCGGGGTGTCAACTATCTCGATAAACTTCATTTTGGTATTTGTAAATCATTGTATCATATTTTCGTTCGTTACAGCCTCTTTTAGTCCACCATTGGGTTCTTTGTTGTTTATATGGTCTATATGAAATTTTGCACAATGGTAGCTTTCCCACAGTAGTAACAACACTACAAGTATTCAAGCCAATTTTTTGTATTACCAGCATTTATTTTCATTAAAATCAAAATACCAAAATTTAAGTCTTTCAAAATCCGATTTATCACGAACTAATTGTCCCTCAGCTGTGCATACGTGTCTTCTGAAGGTTAGGTCTATTTCTTAACATAGCCTCCTTTTAGTTAATTACACCTGGCCGAGTGATGCTTCAATTTTATTAGCATCTTTGAAGATCTTCAAAGTAGATTTTCTTAGCTGCGATAATCTACTAATTCACTCATTCTGCTCGTAGAATGATTTTGTTAAGCGGGAAGTGCACTTTTTCATTCGTCAAATAGGCCCGTTTTTTCTTTTTTTCGGCGTTAAATCGGTTCTGTAGCTTTGCATACTTCTATGACCGTTCTACATACCAGATTACACTTTGTGAACCCCAGAAAACGTGTAAAATACTGCTGTGAAGTAATTTTACAGTTGAACCTATTACGTAGATTAAGCAAACGCGGCACCCATTATGCCAGTAGCTTTCTAATGTCCAACATTTTATGCAGAGTCTACCAATACGAGATCGTGGACTTTTCTTAGGTTTTTTGTTAAACAAATTTTTAATGGTCGCTACCGACGGAGAAGTGTCATCGTATACAGTATCCAAGCGCTTAGCCCTCTTTGATTTTACTGTGCTATTTTCCTTCCAAAAACAATAATCGTATATTCTATTGTTCTAAAATCCGCGGACTCCTGCGATCCACACGTGGTCAAAACAAAAACTACGAATCCAATTCGGTTAAAAGTTTGAAGATTTTGTTTAAGATACAATTTCATTGCCTTCTACTCATCGAATTCTCATTAATTAGAAGAATTTTTTTAGAATGCAAAGATCTGTAATGGAGGTAGGGTAGAGGAAAAAAGACGAAGATGAAGTATAGCTTCAGCTTTACATCAACGAAATTATGAAGCACTTATTTCGTAAAGAATTTTGTTTGCGCCAAGCTAAAAGCTGTCGGTTTGCGTACTGTTGCTAGTACAAACGAAAAATTGGTGGATTGAGGCTTTCGCATGCCAGGTTGATTTTGAAAACTTTCTTTAAGGCTTCTATAGGTTTCTTATACCATATCTTTGATAAAATGCTGTTACTATTTAAAGTTGTTATAAATGTTTGTTGATTAGACCTTTTGAGCATTCGTAATTTAACTAAGGCGTAAATTGTGTCTATTATGTTATGTTATTTTTTTTTGTTTGGAATTTGCCTTATTTATAATTTCTGCTGTCTTCACATTAAATACTTGTCTCTTTATTCTGTAGCTAGTCATCTTATACTGCTACTCTTGCTCAGGATCAACCCAAGGGCTGCCCCTTCGGGTCATCTCCTAAAAATTAAAAGTGCTAACATCTTACCGCTTGTGTTGTTGCCGTGCCGAAAAGTCGCACGGTACGAATGGGATAGAACCAACTTAACTGGAACGCTGTGTACGCTGGCAAAAAACTCGCACTCAATAAGTAGTATCTTCCAAACAGACGCCTTTGATTCGAAAGATATTTGACCAATAGAAATTTTTGTATGATTTCAAAAATCAAAAATTCCAAAAGTAATCACCTGTAAAAGCAAATGCAGTAGAAAGTCAAAGCAGTGCTGGTCGAACCCCATAGCGAAGTTTCCAAATAATAGCGTAGTATATTTAACAGAGTTTCACGATTCAAGCTTCGCGGCCTAAGCACTAATGGTGACTGTAAATACATAATCGATTAGATAAAAACACGTTTAGTCCACGCAATACACGAGTTAATCGCGTCACGATCATGATGTGCACTTACAACAGCTAACGGCAGGAAATATTTCAGGCATCCCATAGAACAACGGTACCAGTTCCACCCGAACAACTGTTTACACGTTAGACCCCCATGCATTAACAGCTCCGAGCAGGTCAAACAATTATATGGTGGTTGATAGAGTTTACTTATCTCAACCATGTTTTGTATGTATGTATATTATATAGAATTGCACATATATCGGGCAGAGTGCATTGACAATTTTGAACAACCGACCGTTGCGTACGAATAGGAACTGATTGATTTGTTCTTGGCTTGTGCTAATGCAAGCGTCGCACACATTTAAGTTAGTTGCAAACCGAAGGTCACTCATACGCACATATACATATGTAAATACGTACATTGATGATCCAATGTAATACATTAGCTCAAATTGCAAGCAAGAACGATGACAATGTTACCCTACAAAACATTTTTTGGCTCATATTCAAGTATGGTGTTATGCGGGTACATAAACAAATGGTAAAAATGAATATTTTCTTCAAGTGTCCAAATTCATAACTAAGTGTCAAATGCATGATTGTTTAGATAATATATATTTCGCTATAATAAACCTATAGTTTGGCTGGTCTGTCTGTTAGTCATGCTTGGCTGAGCTTCAATTCATATTTTAGTTGGGTGCCGTGAGGTACTAAGGCGTTTCCTAGAGGGCTGTTTGATTATCATACCGTGAACAGGGTCGATTTAGCCATGCCGGTTAGCGTGTCGTCTGTCCGTCTGTATATACTAATTAGGTTTTTGATATATCGATCTGAAATGTTGCACACGTCCTTTTTTTCCACAAGAAGCTGCTCATTTATTTCAAAAGCTGTCCTACAAACTTAACAATCATAATCAAGCAAGAACTTGAAATGGGACAACTTTTTTATTTGTCAAGATATCTTCACGAAATTTGTCATATATTATTATTCAAGACAACGCTACAATCTTCGAACATACTGTTTAAATCGGACCATTATATCATATAGCTGCCATACAAACCGACCAATCATAATCAAGATAAAGATCTTTTTATACCCTTTATGCTATAAGGAATGCACCTGTGAAGAGTATTATATGTTAGTTTCGGTGCAGTCAAAATTAACGATTGTTTTGCTTGATTTTATTTATAAATATAGATTTTTTCTCAATTGTACTTTAAACTTAAGACCCCTCGAGAGGAGACTATTCTTCTATATTCTCAACACCTTTTTTCTTTAAAGAATGTATTAAAATCAACAACCCATTTAACTTGATAATGTTATTATGACAAACTGTTTCAAAAGTTAGCCATACCTTAGCGTACTAAGTTCTAACTCGCATAATATTAGTGCGGAGCAATCATGGTAAAGTTTATAAAAAAAAGTTCCAAAAATGTATGCAGCGTCAATTTACAAACGAATACTATTAACCCAGCGTAAATGACGTTGGGTCGTTTTGAACCGCATTTTTTATGTCATATTATATAAAGTATACAAAGAAGCGTTCCTTTGCTTTAGTATTTAGTTTAAACAAAGTTTTTTGTTCAATTAAAGAGTTAATTAATTTTACTAAATTTTTTGTAAATTCATTCCACAACAACTCATGTTTCTGGGATTCAGTCTCATATTCTTAATATACTTCGCTATGCTAAGTCTTTGCAAAGACTATGCTCTTTTAATATTTTGTATAAATTCTTGGTTAAAATTGCTGCAGTAGATCCTGAGATATGGAATTTCACCAAAAGGTGGGCGGTGCCACGCCCGTTGACACCGGCTCCTGTAAAGCCTTTCCGCAGCACCTTGGCTGTGAATTATAATGCTTCTAAATTATTATTATTTAGTGAGTTATAGCAATTTTAGTAGTTTTCAACATTACCGTTATATGTTATCCAATTTCACCCATGTCCACACCATATGAAGGTCCTGAGCAAATCTGTATAAATTCTACGCCTATTGATCTTAATGATTTTAAAATTTAGCATAAATAGAAAAAGTAGTACTTTCTTTTACTTTGCTTACTATTGCTTCAGCTTTGCAACTGCATTACCGAGTGCCATAACTCATGACACGCATACTTATATCTGTTCTGCACTAACTGGTAGCTTAAGTGACCAACTAGTAAAAATTCGGATTAAAGCTTTTGAAATATGTAAGCTTGAAGTATATGTACTCGTATGTAAGCAACTTTTGTGACTTTCCACTAGGAAATATGTCTGGTCGTACGAAGTTCGTAAAAATATTAAAGTTTTTATGTTCGATACCGCTACGGTTGGCTGATAATAAATCGTACCGTCTACTCCACATTAAAGTAGAAATTCAAATTATTTTGAATTTTTTGTGTCTTACCTAAGTGACAGCATTTGAATAATAATTTCGCAACCTAACATATCAATCACGGGGCCATACTAACGTATTCTGCAAAGGAACGACACGTTTTCGCATAACATTATTATAAATCATAAAACACATGCAAACTATGTGCGAAATACTTAATTCAATTGTAATATGTTAATAAGTCATGTTTTAACACTTGCATTTATGTAAATTATTTTTACAATAACCTTATTAAAAAGCGCTCCATTGTGTCAATACCTCGTTAGAAAATCACTAGTGATTGATTAATGTGTTATTTGCTTATTAGAAGTAATCAGACTGAAAATTACTTAGTATTATTATAATAAACAACATTTAGTATTCTTCCATGTGTAAATATCAGAGTTATCAACAAAATTCAAAACGCTACAGTCTTCTCCAGGATGGATTGCGTCTCGCACTCAAATATAGCAATTTCTGAGCTTTGAAGTCAACAGATCAAAATTTTATAATTAAAACATAAGCGTTTAATGACACAAATATGATTGAAGACCTCAAAAGCAATGAGTAAAGGGTGCGATTTGAACTGATGATCATTGTGTTATTAAAATTCATAAATACTTGTATACCTGAGGAGTAATCACATTCTCTATTTGAGTTCAATTAATTGAGAAAAAATGTATTTTAACTTACATGTTGTATATTAAAAAATTGTTGTTATAGCTTTTTTTAAAAGCAGTTTTTGTTTACATTTTAATTGGTCAATTTGATTTAAAGCCTTACAAAGCTGGTGAATTCCGCGCCAGAATTTTCTCGATTCTTTCAATGCTCATATGTGTGGATCTCACACTGAAATAAAGTGGAAATATGAGAATAAAGATAATTATTAATTATATCAAAAACATAAGAAAAAAGAAAATATTCATTTCAATACATACATACACACATAATAGCGTTCAAACATCTACTACTATCGTTATAAATAATTCTGTTGTGGTTACTCGTCAAAGTGCTTATGACTAACAGCATCATAATTATGATCAATATATCAGCACGAAGTAAATTGTAAAAAAATGAAATGAACAGTAAATTTAAAATACCGTTGTAAAGGAGATAGGAGAGGGGTTTGCGATAGGAAGCGCTCCATGAACTTTAGTTTCAGTCTACCAGACCACCGGATTGGTTTTCAAGCGCTAGTATTTGCTATCAAGGTAGCAGCAAATATTCTGCATCGAAGTGCATCAAAAGATCGCTTTGGCTATAAAGTCTAATGAACAACTTGCTTTATCAAGGTTCTTTTTTCCGAAATCGTGTGAAACTGAACACTTCTTGTAGTAGTAGTCATATATGCGAAAAGACTAAAAATCTAACAAAGTTGCATGAAGCAATCGAGACACTTTTCCCTTTATTGTGAAGATTTTGCAGTACCAGGGTTGACATTTCTTAACAAACCAGGCAAATACATACTCATACTGAGACCGGCGTTCTCAACTGTACAAATTGAATCCCTCATAACCATTGTCGTGAAAACAATCGACTATAAGATACTCTCACAATTAGTGAGATTTAAATTCGATTGATGAAGTCAAGCGGTGGTACAGGGGTCCTCATATTCGGTTATAGGACTAGACAAGGTGTGGATCAATGTCGGTACAGAAGGACGGACAGACAAAATAAAATAATCACGGGCCGAAACCACACATATTTCACAACTATTAGACCTTAATTATACATACTTACTAGTTATTTGTGATGCCGTTTATGACCATCGCACTGAGCTTGCTGACATAATTTTTGTGAATGGCATAAGTATTCACCAAATAGGCGAGCGCCATTGGATAAAGTATCACTCTGCAGGGAAACCGCTTGACCCACTCATAGGAGTCGCCAAAACGCTCTTCAGTCAAGTAAGCTGTAACTTGCTGCCAACTAATTTGTAAGCCCACGACCATCCCATAGCAAAGCAGTGTTAATTTTGGGAAAAATATGAAGCCAGATCCACTTAGAAAAGCCGCCACGCTGTGTTTCAGCGGTGAGTCGCCACCGAAATTGCGATTGAAGTAGCAATGCAGCAGCTGAAAATATCAGAAATCCAAATGAAATGGAAATTATGAATAAAAGGAAGTGTCTAACACCTACCCTGTAAATGGCGACGTATGAGGTGAGTAGTGCGAAGGAGCGGAGTTTGAAAGCTTTCAATTTGACGTAGAATTTCGCCATGAATCCGTTCACATTTGGTGGCACATTGCTCATCAGCATTTTGATGGTGTCCAATCCCAGTCCAGTGAGCATAAAGTTTCGAATTCCTTGCAGAGCATATTGCTTGCACGATTTGTTTTTGTGATTGCATGATCCGTTGTCGCCATTCTCTCCCGTCTGCTTCACTGTTGTAGCATTGTAGGGTGTAGGTTCCATCAACCAAAAGCCTTTGTAGGCTTTTCTCCGCTTGGCATTCAATATCAAGACACTACAACACATAAATATGAATGTGCGTAGCAATGGCGAATTGGCGATTAATTTCGTGAGTGCAGTATTCTCTAGCATAATCAAAGATTCGAGTGTCTGGTGAGATGGTGAGATCCAGCGAATCAGACGAGATAGTATTAAATTTGAAAATCATAGCAAGAAATAAAATCAAAATCGAATTATGTAAAGTTTAAAAAAAAAAAATAGCCATTTTTAAATTACACATAAAATCATTTATGTTATCATACAAGTATATATATATATATATATATATATATGATGGATAACGAGACGTGTTGATTGTCTGTCCGTCCGTTCGAATATGAGGAACGCCTATGTCTGAAAAATTTTTGGCCCATTTAATCTGCGCGCTTATTTTTCCAGATTGGTACAAGCTTTTTTATGTCCGTGTGAACTTTGACCTTATATGTCAATTAGTGTGTTTTTAATAGCTGTTTACGACACGAAAAGTTCCTCGGACGATTTTTTCCATTTAAAAAAATTGAACAACAAGTTTGCTTGAAATTCAGTGAGGTTGCGTAGTTATTGAAAACTGCTCCATGCGAATTCACCTCCGTTATCGATAGCATCAAAAATGTTAAAGAAACCAATCTTAATGAAACTCAGAGATCACCTTTTCAATACTGCTCCTACCCCCATATGCTTAATATAACAATTTCATACTTCCGTTTGGCCTTATACTATATATATTGGTCAATATGTAAGATATCTTAGTAATATTATGTGTACGTATTCGATATATTCATTATTTAAATAATTCCCCAGCTCACATATACTACTTAAAAAAATTTAATTTTTTTGGCAGACATTTTGCCGAATTTATCGGCCAGCTTTCATAAAATTGTGTGATTTTTCTTGAGTTTACTTGCGTAAAGGCAAAAGTTAATGCAATCAGTCCAGACCTTTCACCAGCCCCACTATACTCCAGACAGGGATTTCCGAAGGGCTAAGTGCGGATGCATCAAATATTGTTGCTCTCCCAATTTACCAGAACCAAACGCGAAGAAATATCTAATAATATGTATACCTATTTATATTTGTTCAAAGGTTTAATAAAAAAAATATAACTGATGCTTCGAAAAGATATTGTAAAGATAATTAACGAGTAATTTATTAGATCGGCGAAAATATTGACCTTCACCAGATAAAATCCGGTTCAATTTCGGTAACGTAGAAATGGTTGTCATAGGAATTGCTAACCGTAGGTTCAAATTTAATGTTTCTGCCGTTTTTATTTGGAGAGCTTTACTTTTAGTAGCCTTTAATATAACAGTCTGAGTGGTTATTATCGGGTCTCATCTAATTGGTGTAGTTTGCCGTAACCGTCAAGTTGGCGTAACTTGATTAATATTCCTTGTTCCAATATTTCGAACATGCCTTGGAAAGCTACTATCCGTGTACGTTTTCCTTAGTATATGTCATTAATTTCGAACGTAAACAACCATATTTTTTTACTCAAATATGTCGAACTTTGTGGCTGAAAAAGTGTTTTTGCGAAGCCTCAGCTGAAAGTCATGGTATTTAGGTGGAAGTGTATGGTGAATATGATTTGGCTTTACGAACGTGTCAAAAATGGTTTGCACGTTTTTAGGAGTCACTCAAGAAGCCAGTTCAAAAGGTTTAAACGCAGCCGGATAGACTCCGAAGCAAGGGATTTGGGTGCCATATGAATTGAAGCCAAGAGACGTTGAAAGACGATTATGCATGTCAGAAATGCTGTTTGAACCCTACAAAAACAAGTAGTTGTTGATGAAAAATGGATCCATTGCGACAATCATATGTGAAACCTGCCCAACTAGCGAACCGCTATATATCCCAGATCTTGCACCTTCTGACTACCATTTATTCCGGTCGTTGCGAACGCCTTCACTGGAATACAATTTACATAAGAATAGGGTATCAAAAATTGGCCTAATTCATTCTTGCTCCCCAACCCGGCGGGATGGGATGAAATGCACTCATTTTCAGGAAGATGGGAAAATGTTAAAGATTCAGAAGAGCAATACTTTAAATAATATTGTTATTAAGGTTATTCTTAAGTGAAATGGCCACTGTAGAATTTTCAACAAATCTTTTTTGTTCGCTTAAACTATGCTTTATAGTCATTAAAATAAGTTTCAAGGTGATTTGTAGCAGGAACATTTTTTTCTAACGACTTTATGCGTATATAATAAGCCCACCATCGGTTCAGCTATAGTTATGTGTCAACTCTGTACAACATGTTTTTGTCAAAACCCAGAGATAAACAACTTTGACAATTTCTATCCGATCGACTACAAATTTTGAGATTATCTTTAAAATTGGATTTAGAAGTACTCGTAAGTAGGGAAATTTTGATTGATTCAAAATTTTCTTTATTCACGAAATTATTGACTACAAATAAATGTCTATAATTTTTGAAGGAATCAATATTTTCAAATTCTCCTATGTATTGCTATGGGATTTCTCATGTATGTAGATTATCGGCGTATTTTTTTATTTTGTCCCAGGACAATTGTGGATTTTACCATTTTTCGAATAATGGCATTTTGTGGGCGTGACAAACCAATCTTATTTATTTGTCAATTCTTACTTAAGTTAGCGTTGGCACGTACAGACAGATGAACGGATACACAGACATCTGGAGTCATCGCCTAGTCATCATTTGAAAGTACACCTATATATACATATATAACTTTCTACCTATATCAATTATTTACGAACAACTTTGACAAAGTTTGAATGAAACTTGTACCTTTGGAATCATTTATCGACTATAAGCTTCACAGTCCATCCCGACTAAATTTATTCTGTCATTATTTTCCACAAGCACCAATATAACGCCAAAATTACTTGCATATATTATTATTGTAAAAGCAAAAACCCTTTCTAAGCAAACAAACACATTTACTGTATACTCGCGTGTGTCTCACATACTTATTTTCTGTATACATATGTTATACCATATCTCAGCCATGCTTTGGATACTTCCAACGTGCTTTTTAGCATTAGAAATTGTCTCAATATATAATTAATGCTGATTTAAGGAATTCACTGCTTAATTAAACAATTATACTTACACACTGAAATATTGTGGTCGCGAACAGGCGATGAACTCGTGGACTTGGTATTAGGTATTTAGCAAAGCTGCCGATGAAAGTGGGCAGCAATATGAAGCTTAAATAGGTATATTTACCAAATAAATGTCTGTAAGGGAAACAATTGTAAACAATTTAACAAAGTGTTTCTAAATTTTTATTTAGGTTTTGTGAAACAAACCGCGAAATACAGATAATGACTTGGATCGACAAACCGATAGCGGTGCCGGCCAACACTGCCTCCGCATAATATATGAGCGTCGACTGCAGCACCTTTCTGTTGAGCGACCGTATATGCATGAGTAAGGGTAACTAAATAAAAAGTTTTGAACTTTATTCAAATGGCGGTCCACCGCATACACTTTCAAAACATGCACTTACACCCATAATAGGCGCGAAATATTTCATATTCGAGAAGAGAAATTTATATGTGTTGAGTAATGCATTTTGTTTACAGTTATGATCATGAAAAATGCCGGTACATTTAACATCGTTATCATTTAAATATTTAATGAATTTGCTCATAACTATCATTTTGAATTATTTAAAATTTGTTGATTTGACTAATTTGGTTTTTTTTCTGTTCTTCAAACTAAAATCGAACTTGCGCGCACCAGCGTGTATTTAGAACTAATTCGAAGTTAAAATTGTGACCGTCAATTTAATGAATTTCTTTATGTTTTTCCTTCCCTTGTTTTCAAACCTTGTACACTTGTTTTGTTGTTCTTTTGTATATTTGTACTCGTCGATTGAACTTGTATCTGCTGCAGTACGTCATTACAATTCCACGAGGAAATAAAAAAGTATAAATATTCGAATTCGAATCTGAATATACACTATTTATAAGTCGACGAAGCGGTAAGTAAACTCGACAAAGTAGAAGTCAAGAAAGGAAAGAACTAAACGAACTCCGCTTGGTATTTATATAATATATTAGTGCATGTTTTAAAGGTAAAAAGAAAACAAATTTCTGTAGAAATATATTTATAATTGTCCGATTTAGAAAATGTACGAATAAATAATTCAAATTGAAAGTGAAATTTAAAGTATGTGTAAAGTTTAGTATGAAATGTTGGTAATTTATTGCTAAATTAATCGACTTCCTCGACAGTCGGTCCGCCAGCACGTCCCCCCTGTGCTCCCTTAGCAGCACCTGCATCACCACCACCAGTGCCTCCATGCATCTTCGCCATTACAGGGCCACAAACTCGTTGACACTCCTTCAGGTGATCGTCGAACTCGTCCTTTTCAGCGAGTGTATTGGCATCCAACCAAGACATCTCTGAGCTGCATTTATCGCGTACCGTTGATTTATCGGCGTCTGTCAGACGTCCAGCGGGGGCATCCTCAATGGCCTGCAAAAATAATAAATTATATTTAGATCGAATTTTTTAGTGGGTCGAAGCTAGGATGGAAGGTCTGAGGGGAGTTTTTTATAAGAAGCCCTCCGTCAATCGTAGATTTAAGCTACCGGGCCCCTGTAGTTCAGGCAGAAGTGACTGCTGTTAAAGTCGCAATCGGACCATTGGCATCTTGCGTTCTAGCGCTGAACCAATGGACCTCGCGTTATCTTAGAAGACGCTGGTCAATGACCCGCTCCTGTACGACTGCAAGATCCTTTTTTAACTACTTACCCTTAGCAAATTTCATCTTGCCGTAATAGTAGGTGTCCTTAAAGGACATTGTTTAAGTCGTAGAACGCAAATTGTTATATGGAGGAGGATGAGGTGCAACAACCATATCAATATTCATTTTACCGGATCAACGATTTGACCACATCAACATGGATATCGTCGGACCATTACCACATTGCAAGGGATATCGATACTGCTTGACAATAGTGGATCGTTATTCCCGCTGGTTGGAGGCATACCCGCTCGAAGATATGACGACAGAAACAATTGCTTTTTATTTCTACATACATTGGATCGCGAGATTTGGAGTACCGATAAGAGTAAAAACGGACCAGGGAAGACAATTTGAATCTGCACAGACGGACTGAAGGGCATGGCAAAACCGACTTAGCTCGAAATTTACTTTAGGTTATTAATTGACTTACCTGCTTGCAGCTAAAGATGTAGCTCTCCAAAGCATTCCTAGACTGAATGCGCTGCTTCTGTTTCTCATCCTCATCCTTATAACGTTCGGCATCCGACAACATACGATCGATTTCTGCCTTGGACAGACGTCCTTTATCATTGGTAATTGTAATCTTCTCCGATTTACCGGTGCTGTTGTCCTTAGCGGATACATGTAATATGCCATCAGCATTAAGGTCAAAGGTCACCTCAATTTTGGGCACACCACGTGGTGCCGGCGGTATGCCAGTCAAATTGAATGTACCCAAAAGATTGTTGTCCTTAGTCATGGCACGTTCACCTTCGTACACTTGAATTGTGACAGCATTCTGATTATCGCTGTATGTTGTAAAGGTTTGTTGTTGTTTGCATGGAATGCGAGCATTGCGTTCAATTAGTTTAGTCATCACACCACCGGCAGTTTCGATACCCAATGAAAGCGGCGTTACATCAACCAGTAGGACATCCTGAATTTGTGAACTACCCACGCCAGTGAGAATGGCAGCTTGCACGGCAGCGCCATATGCCACAGCCTCGTCGGGATTGATGGACAAGTTCAGCTGTTTGCCACCAAAGAAGTCTTGCAGCATCTTTTGTATTTTCGGAATGCGTGTAGAACCGCCCACCAGCACTACGTCGTGTATGGCGGCTTTGTCCATTTTAGCGTCGTTCAGCGCACGCTCAACTGGCTGCAGAGTCGAACGGAACAAGTCCATGTTAAGCTCTTCGAAACGTGCGCGACTGATTTTCGAATAGAAATCAATACCCTCATGCAAAGCATCGATTTCAATGGAAGCCTCTGTGCTGCTGGATAAGGTACGTTTGGCGCGCTCACAGGCGGTACGCAGACGTCGCAAGGCGCGCACATTGGAGGACAAATCGCGTTTGTGTTTGCGTTTGAATTCCTCAACGAAGTGATTGACAAGTCGATTATCGAAATCTTCACCACCTAAATGTGTATCACCAGCCGTCGATTTGACCTCAAAGAGCGAGCCCTCATCGATGGACAATATGGAGACATCGAAAGTACCACCGCCCAAATCAAAGATGAGCACATTTTTTTCACCTTTCAAGTTCTTATCCAAACCGTATGCCAAAGCAGCGGCTGTGGGCTCGTTAATGATGCGCAACACATTGAGACCAGCAATCGAACCGGCATCTTTGGTGGCCTGACGTTGACTATCATTAAAGTAAGCGGGCACTGTAATAACGGCATCGGTAACCTTGCCGCCCAGATAGACCTCGGCGATTTCACGCATCTTAGTCAAAACCATCGAACTGACTTCTTCCGGCGCGAAACGTTTTAGTTCGCCTTTGAACTCGATTTCGATTTTAGGTTTGCCACAGTCGTTGACCACTTTGAAAGGCCAGTGCTTCATATCCTCCTGTATTTTTGCATCATCGAAACGGCGACCTATCAGACGCTTGGCATCAAATACTGTGTTTTTGGCGTTCATGGCAACCTAAGAAATATGTGAAATATGTTATAAGTTGTTTACGGTAAAATGAATTTAAAATAGAAAATAAAGCCGGTTTAAACAACAACTTGTTGTTTGAAGCAAAAAACTTGTAGATTATTTTAAATACGGGGAAGGGTTTAATACTTATAAATGATAACTTACAGATCTTAACGCGGCTAAAGTTTAAAAAGATTTTGTCTGGAAAAATTGATTTCTTAAGAAATGTTTGCAGGCTTTCAGAATTAATTGCGAAGAATTCCGCTTCCATTCATGTAAAATTCATGAACCTTATAAGGCTTTTATGCCAAGTTTGCCATCTCATACTTAAAAGGAACATTGAGAAATTGTCAAGGTCGAATTCTTTAAGAGGTTCTTCAAGACTATGGCACAATGCTAGGATTTTATCGCTACTACGACCCAGCGGAAAGCCGAAAATTAATTCATTGCAAATGAAGACGCCCTCAAGAAAATAGAATAACCCTCGTATGCACCAAATCCCAAATCCTATACGCAATAAAAATATTATAATCTTAATTTCAATTATTTTTGATTATAAATATTGACACATCATATACGAGGACGGCTATATATTGCCAGTTTAACCATTTCAGGTATTGTAAGACGCTATATGATGTTTTGCTTCTAAAGTTTGACTTGGTTTTAAAGAGAATTTTCGGCGAGACCACAAATTTACGGAATAAGTGTTATCCGATCTTTTGCCAATTGAAACAATCACTTGTTAGTGGGTTGATAATTCTGTATAGATCATATTAACAGCGAAGACGAAAAACCCGCTGGACATCCAAGAAAGGCTATTACAGAATGATTTGGGTAACCATAAAATAAGGTTGATCGTGAATGAACCCTCGAAAAATATCACTATAATAGTCTGAAAAGTGGGTATTGCGCTAGCTCACTGTGTCTCATATCAATATTCTCTTTGAAAAAAAAAATCTGCTAACTGTTAAAGAGCAAACTGTCGTACATATAAAATATAAGTTTAAAATATTTTATATACGAATTTACCTTAAATATTTTATGATATTTGCAACTTACTCTCTAACAATATAATAAAATATTTGCCAAATTATTATTTCATTTCCTTTTCTATTGCTAAAAATAGCCAACAATTATAAAAATTTTTAGAAATGAAACATAAAAACATCGATTCATTGCAGCGAATGGTATTTTTGAAACAAAACAACTTGGAAGCACACGTCCTCTACACTGTGCCACTAAACCAGAACATTCCACGCGACGTGACTTATGAATTTATGTATGTAAATAGTATGTACAATCATAAGTGTTTGTGTATATAGTATGTATGTAATTATGCATTGTATATAACTTAAATGATGCTGCAACCCGCGAACACCCACACGATTGCCAAAATTCACACCATTCCCACAACATCGCTCTGACTTCGTCAACCTCGGTAATGGGGGTAATAAAAAAGGCAAATTTATATATTATATATATTTACATGACCACATATACATACATATAAACATTGTGTATTACGTATTTTCTGAATGCATGACGAATGCTTTCATATTTATGGCTGCTGAACAGGTGTCGACGACTCATGTCATGTATCGAAATGGTAGTAAATGTCGGAGAGTGGACCAGTCAGATCCATATAAAGGCATTCCGAGCGACTGGGTGCTTGTCGCCGGCGATCATTACGGGTATGGTCTATTGTAAAAATAATGAGTGACGGCACCTAATCCGACATAAATGTATGTACGAGCTGGTATTTACAAACTTACTACACCTTTTCACCTACGTATGTACATACACGTGTATGCGAGTATGTTCGCACAAATGTGGTAAGTATGGCGGTTCATCAAATTTGGCGTACAGCGCGTCTGGGCGATGACAAGTGTGTGTGCCGTAATTTGAAGAATTCCAATGAGAATACAAGCAATCGTCAGCGGGTGCACGTTGCAATTCCCAGCACTATGTTTTGCCCGTAAAGTGTAGGGTCAAGAAAAACGTTGTTGCACAAATTGCATTTTTGGTTGTGCTTTGATGAAATGTCAACTGAGAAACGTATAGTGACAGCTTGTCAAAGCGCGATATTATTCTAACGCATTGTTTGTGCATTTTCTTTTTGTTTTGATGTTTAATTTTTTGGCAGTTTCCATTCATACTTATTTATGAAATCATAAATTACACATTTGGTGTGAAAACTAATAAAATTTTACAAATTAACAATTAACATACGATTTTGGCTGGCCATGATGCAAGAGACAAGTGCGAATATATTCTTTACCGATTTTGACTCATTTATGTTTGTTTATAGAGCTTGTTAAGCAGTTGTAGATAAGTAACATTTAACATAAATATTGAAAGCATTGAGATCAAACTCGCTGCGATGCGATTATTTAATAATTCAAATTAACAAATAAATAAAAAAAATTGTCAAATATACTTTTCTTATTATAATTCTACTAAAAACAGAACGAGTTCTTTTTATCATTGTAACTGTATAGATTTTACTTTCTTTGTTGGATGATGCCTTTAGAATAGAAAGTTAGGGAAATCGATTTATTTATGTTTGGATTGATCCAAGTCGATCGAAGATAGCTTACCAAGTCGAGCCTGCAGATATCTCATGCATAGAGAGGATATATGATAATTTGTCAAAAGTTAACATATGCCCGTAGTGACCACTTAGAAATCAGTTGTACTCTTTTGTTCCTATTTGAGCAATGTTGCCATTGTAATCAGTGGACTCGTTTCTACGGGAATAATGCCATTTTTGCGAGTCGTAACTGTTCATATACACTGCGCCCTCATAAGATAGGTCGTATCAGCTAATACGGTATACGGTTTTGCGTCGTTCACTACACCCAAGGTCAATTTATTTTTATTTAACACGCGCTCCAAAAAAATAACGGGCCGAAATTTTCGTAATTTCTTTTCCCATCATCCTATTTTAGTTTTATTATGGCCGAGAAAATGATGGACCACCCGTATTAGCTTCATTCAATTCGCAAGGCATGTTCTTATGTCCCTCTAAGGCACGAGGTATCCCTATTGTCACAACATAGTTAGAATAAGACCTACTTTTTTCAGTAAAAAATTCTGGATCACTAAGCATTAAGGAAGATAATAAATTACTTATATCTCCGGGATTAGATTGTGTAAGTCTGTTTTCATAGATAGCCTCTTGAAAGCTCGCTAAGAAAAGAGTATGCTTATCAATGGCTTATAGCTCAGCTATCTTCCAAAAAACCCAATCAAGGGAACTCTCTAGCTCTACAAAACTGTAAATCATAATTTTGAAAAAATTGTTTACCAAAAAAGGAGGAATAGCACCTGTTTTCTACCTTGAATTTATCAAACTTACGTCTGTATTATTACGTAAGGGTAGTCGATAGCCTTATCGAGTTATCATAATAAACGAAAATTTATGTACTTTTACAGCACTAATCTATGTCATTTACGGATTAACCGTAAAGTTATAGTTATGTTAAAGTGTGATATTTACGGAGAGTCTGCCGCTACCTGTTATACAATCCTTCTCTTCAAGGTCAAGAAATTTTATTGTGGTGCCACTGTTTAAGAGTTTGTGAAGCTTCATAGATTAAAGGCGAGTTTAAAGAAACTAATTTAAAGTAGTTGTCAAGTAAACGCGACCATTTCTTCTTGGCTCAAGGAACCGAATCTATCATAATTTAGTTACCTGAATTTTTATTAAAATTTTCTTTTTGTAAACAAGTTTTTTGAAATTTTAAGTTGCACTATTAGCTATGAAAATACAATATTTATATACGAACAGACTACAGAGTTCTATTATGTCCTCTCTTATAGAAAAGCACTTTGCACCGCTGATAAGTTTTTCATTCACACAAATTCTTCAATGACTTTCAATTGTCCTTTCATACTCAACTACACCAAAAGTGTTCTTAATCAATTGCAAGTAAAACCAAATCCTTTGAAAAATTGTTGCCTAATATAGTATTATCACGATTAAATTCATATTCTGGGAAATTTTTTTTATTTTGCACTCTATTTTTGCATGTATGAGTGTGCGTGTTTTTGTACCCACCTGATTCTTGGCTGCATCGCCGATCAAACGTTCCGTATCGTTGAACGCAACATAACTGGGTGTGGTGCGATTGCCCTGATCGTTGGCGATTATTTCGACTTTGTTATTTTGCCAAACGCCCACGCAGGAGTAGGTGGTGCCCAAATCAATACCGATCGCTGGTGCCTTACCCATTTTTTCGCTTGATTTTTCAAATGTTTACTTGAATGCACTAAAAATAAATGCAATGCAATCCTTTTTTATTTTATTTTTATATTATTCGTATTGCACTCGGCACTTTCTCCGGCAATTATGAATATACAAGTATGTATATGGGTATGTTTGCAGTTAGATTGGTCACTTAGTTCTTTGACTTTTGAAATTGAATTGAATACAAATGCTCGCTTTCAAACGCGCCGGCAAACTGTTGGCTTTTCCTGCCGCCACACTCGATTTTATGCTTTTGCGCTTTATTGCTATTTTTCAAATTTGCCGAATATTTGTGATTTCTTTGTTTTTGGCATTCACGAAGTCGCTTTTTTGCGTTTATCTCGTAGCGTAGACGAATCTCTGTGCGCATGCGCTTGAGCAGCTACGAGCGTACGAATTGTGAAAAGTGTTGTTTACGTTTGGAAGTTGTTGTGAACGAAAGTGAACGTTATGCTTTCGGCCAATTGATTGTGGAAAAATTCTCAATAATAATAGCGTTGTTGGAAATATTAATTTTGTTTTGTTTGTGGAAAAGAAATTCTTCTAGAACAGTGCTTTTCAATTTTGTTTATTAAAATTTCGATATCAAAAGTAAATGAATGTATTGATGACTTTTCTGACATAAAAATAGAATTTCATTTAATTTTCGTTGTTTGTTTTTTTGTTGGCTTTGAGTGGGCGGTGTGGGAGCATTTTGCGTCGGCAGACAGCAAACGGCTGTCGGTGCTAAAAGTTGTAGACATTGTGTGTACAACAACAATATCTTTTGGTAGGTATGTTTATATATACATACATATATATGTATGGTCGCCGTTAAATTATAGCCCTCAAAACTAGAGGCTTGGAAGCTTAAATTAATACATTTTAATAATAAAATAAATGTTTTTTTAGTTCGTTTAACATAGATTCACTAAAAATATACTTATGTATAAATAAGTCTTTAACGTTTGCCCTTTTTCTTCTTCTTTTGTCCATCGGGCCAAGCAAAACCACGTGTTTTGAGTAAATCCTAAAATAAAAGTAAAATTTAATACAATATTAATCAATAATATCTACTTTGATTAATACCGTCTAATATACTAATTCTTTTGTACGAAGGCGTTCCGAAAGGTCCTTAGTCTACAATAGCAAAACGGTAATTTTGGAAAAATTACGATTCTCAACCATTTTCAATAGCTTCGTTTTAGTTTAAACCACATCAGAACACCTATCAGAAAATACAGTTTTTGCTTGTCTGCGTAGTAAGGGTAATTTTTTCTGCGATTCGGCGTCGAATCGGCTCAAAAGTTCAGTACCATTTCCCAAGTAGTCGATGATATCTTGTGAATCCCAGAAAACGGTGCCCGTCACCATTCTCGCCGATAAAACAATCTTCACACTCTTCGGAGCAAGTTTGTCAGGTGAAACCCAATGCTTCGACTGTTACTTGGTCTCTGGTTGGTATCAATGGATACCTGTTTCGTCTACGGTTACGAAAAGATGCAGGCACTCCTTCGGATTGCACTTAAATAGCTTCAAACATTGTTTTCTATGGGGCCTCTCGGTTTCGATCGTTATTAGGAGTAGACAAATACGGCACTAATCGAGCCGACAGCGTTCTTATGCCCATTATAACCCTTAAGGAAATAACCCCTTTCCGGCACCTATTGTCTCAACTATCTCTTGCACCTTCAATCGGGTTAGCCTGTCTGTGCGTGACACTTCAAAAACCGACATTTGACCTCGTAAGCTAATTTTTCACAGCCGCCATTGAAGAATATTCACTGTATAGATGATCCAAACGCTTTTTGATTTCATAGCTCGATTTCCCTTCCAAAAACAAGAATCGAACATTTTTCTAAAATAAGCAGTCATGTCCGTCTGTATTGTTGCCATGTGAGCTAAGTATTTATCGGAACGCACTCGTATATTTATATTTACCTGCACATTGTGACACACATAGTAGGCATTCTCCATGGCTACATCATTGAAGATGTCACAACCCAGCGATTTGCTGCCGCTGCTCTTCTTCTTACCATCTTTTTTCTTCTCCCCCTCCTCCCCGTTACCGTTATTGCTGGAAGAGGAATCTTTGCTATTACGTTTCTTCTTGCCTTTCCCACCCATTTGCAAAAATAAATTTATAATGATTCCAAATCAGAAACAGCAGCGTTAAAACATGATCTAAAAAATTACTTGTATTGACTTAATAAACAACTGTACATTTCCTTAGTAACATTGAGTAAAGAAAATGTTTACTCATATTTGCTGCATGTCGTTGCCCAACTATTGTAATTGTTCTGGAAAATAACTGTCGTAGTCATCTGGCCAAACAACCGATGTGATCCATTCAATATACGACGAAACACGCGTGTAAACTCCCGGATATGCGCTGCGACAAAACTCGCCATACGAGGTCATTCCGATTAAATAGTAGCGAAAATGCTTCCTATTTTTACGCATTAGGTTCAATTGCAGTGGTCCGCCAGAATCTCCCTGCAAATATTGGAAAACAAAAAAGGAGTTTTGGAAAACTAAGTTCGGGTGTAACCGAAATAACTTCAGGTGTTGGCAAAACTTTATTTTAAGAAATGTTGCAAACGATATACTAACATAGTTTAATAATTATATATGACTTCCCGTCAGCGAAAATTATATTAAAATCATCCTCAAATAGAAATATGATATATATGTATACTTAACTGAAGATACTAAATTTAATCAATATATTGCATAAGTTTAGATGTACAAAAGGTCAACCAGAAGATCGGAATTGATTATATTAGGAATATGAGGTTTGGATTAAGGTATACCAATTCCATACATATTCAGTGCTAAACCACATAATTTTTAAGAAAGCATGTCCACTTAATTTCATTAAAATATCACACATTTTGACCAACCTAAACGGTTTAAAGTCAGGTGGAAAGCCGGAAATCATCTTATCTTATATTAAGTATATGGGAGACAGGGACAGTATTGACTCGATTTTATCTATTTTTGGTATTACCACATATTATTAATAGAAAAAGATGATCACTGAGTCTCACTAAGATACCTCATATACCATTGGTGAGTCAACCGGATGTTTGAAAATCCTGATATTAGTTACATATACACGTTTTTATCTATTTTGTGCAAAAATATATACCGTTATTAGAAAAACACGCTCCCTCATTTTTATAAAGATAATCCAAATATTTGCCGATATATGCGGTATAAAGTCAAACGGAAATTGCAAAATCTTTATATTAGGTATATGTGGGCTAATGAAAGTATTGAACCGATTAAACATTTTTGGTTTACATATATGCTATTATCAGAAAAGGATTTATTCCGAATTTCCATAATATATCTCACAGATTTACCGATATTTTCAATAAAAAGTTCGTAATTAGAACTGGGCTCCACATATTCGGTAACAGGGGCCTTAAACGGTTGTTACCCGATTTTTCAAATGTTTAATCGTAAGGAGGCACATCTTAAAGTCACTATTTATGTAAAGATTTATCTCGATATATACTGGAAAGTGAAACAATCAGATGAAATTTAAAATTGTGTTATATGGGAAGTAGGCGTGGTTCTAGTTCGATTTCACCCATTTTCGCACCGTAACATGGGAATGTCAAAATTATGTTATATTTTAATTCGGTTGAAATTGGTCGAGTAGGTCCTGAGATATGTGATTTCACCTAAATGTGGGCGATGTCACACCTATCGTCCAATTTTGACACCTGCTCCTATAAAACTCTCTTGTACCACGTCGGATGTGGCGTCTGTTAATGTCTCTAACGCGTTTAGTTATTGACTTATCATACATTTGGTAGTTTTTTGACAAAACTGTTATATGGGGAGTGAATAAATACTTGTACTTAAAAAACATGCTGAATATACCGCAGTTCAGCAGTAATCGTGTAAATAAACGAACGGCATAGAACTGAAAAATATAAAAATCGATAGCGTTTGATTGAAATCAAAGGACACCTCGTGGCTAAACACCGAATGGCTGTTTGAGCACAATAAACCTAATGATGGTTTAAGTGCGGTTAGTTGCTCCTGCGCCTCCTTTTTCAATCAACAAATGGAGATTTGGCATTATCTCAAGATTAGCAGTATGTCGACGATATGAACTACTCGGATGCTCTGAGTAATGTTTTTCAAATAGATTCAATCAAAACCAGTAGGGAAAGTCTGAAAGCAGCTGAACATTTGTACTTCTCTTGTTAGATTTACGGAGTATAAATAGTTACATAAATGGGTATAGTATGTCTAGATAATATACATCAATACTTTTAGATATTTGATATATTGAACGACATATTTTATATATTATATAAGCGGTTAGGTATAGGAGAAATGCCAAGATTTTCGGTATAAATTCCGCCATAAGCGCCGACCATCTCTACCATCGTAAATGGACTCTTTATATACGTATTACGATGAAGATACGGCTGTAGTCTAATTACATACTTATAAAACCAAGCCAAGAAAATGTAAAGCCCCGAATGCGGTTTTATAAAGCAGTTACTATGTCAAAATCTAGTACTCTATCATTCTTGGTTTGGATCGTTTTACTATGAGCATTG